CACCGCGCCTTCCCTTTGCGGGGCTTTGCCCGCAGCTCCCCCCCCACAAACACAACCAGAGGTGATGGGGGGGATGGGGGGGGGCAAGAGCTGCCGGTGATCCCGAGCAAACCCCGGGAACCGGAGCGGGGGGGCAGGGGCCCGGCCGGAGCTGTCGCCCCCACCGGTGCCCGGTGCTGACAGCCCTCCGGGAGGACACACACGGGTCCCCATCCCAGGAGCTGGTCTTTTTTATTTAAAAAAAAAAAAAAAAAAAGAAAACCAACAAAAAAAAACCCACAGTTATTAATTGATGGGGTCGAAGGGAAGGGGGGGCTCTTCGGGGAGTGCGGTTTTGCCGGATGTTTCTGAAATAATGTCAGCTTTTGCCCGGGTTTATTTTCCAGCTCGGGTGGTGCAGAGATGGAAAAAGATCTCGCTGTCAAAGGAGGGGAAAGGGGGGGAGAGGGGAAAAAAAAAAATTAAAAAAGAAAGAAAAAAAAAAAAGCCCCGCAGAGCAGGAGAGGCGGCGTGGGGCCGAGCGCAGGCAGCGCGGACAGCCGCGGAGGGGATGTGCGCGGCCGCGGAAAAGTTTCCTCGCTGGAAAGGGTCCCCGTGTCCTGACCACCATGTGCGAGGGCTGCAGGGAAAGCTGTGGTTTCCCAGTTTGTATTGAATTAAAGTAGCAACATTTCTAGATTGACAAGGGAAGCTAGGAGAAGGAAACAAAAGCTGCAGGAAGGAGCGTGATACCCGTTCTCCACCGAGAGCCTTTCAGGGGGAGTTCTATCTCTTCTTGAATTTTAATTTTTTAATGCCTGTTGTTGCTCTTCGGAGTTTTAGCAGGTCCTATAACCTAGAGAGTGGCTGTGGCAAGAGTCGGTCCCGAAGTGGCACCCGGTGATAAACAGGGTTTGGGTTGTGCCTCCCAGCCTGATTCACAAACAAAGTTAGGGACCGGCGTCTGGAAGGGACTCCGAGATTAGAGGGGATTATTTGAGATTAGAGAGGGAGATTTGCTCCGTTTTGCTCTACCCCTGTGTGTGACCCCTCGGTGCTGGAGGAGGGCTGAGGACCTGCCTGCTTTTCTTCTCCGAGAAGCTGCAAAATACCTTTCACTTTTTTTTTTTTTTAATGGGGAAGAAAAAAAAAAAGAAGTACAAAGCCCGATTAAAGCTAATGTGCCTTATGATTTGAAATGGTATCACAGCCCGGATTTATAATGAAATTTTTAACGAAATTTTTAACGAAAACCCGCAGCGGGGCGAGGGGCCGCCGGGATGGATCCCAGCCGCTTTCTTATCGCCCCCCCCGGCTCCCTCTCGGCCCGGTTTCTCCGGGCTCTTCCCAGCCAAAAGCCAGAGGATTTGTCTTTACGGGGGATATTTTGGTTTCTCTTTTCCCACCGTCGCCGGGCCCTGCGGCTCGGCCGGTCCAGCGGCCGCAGAGACCGGGGGGGGGGGACCCGGGGGGGGACCCGGGACCCGGGGACGATGGGGTCTGTGCTGCAGAGGCCTTGTTTGCTCTGCAAACCACTTAAGAGCAGAGAGAGGCCAGCCGGGCTGCAATCGGCTCCAATTTGGGGGGTTCCATTAAGCTGTTGGAGCTTGCTCGCCCCCCCCCTTTTTTTTTTTTTTTGCTACGGAGGGTGCCCAGGCGAGGAGCGATTCAGGGGTGACTTTGCAAGGACGAGTCCTCCCGGGCTTTGGATGCAGCCCGCGATTATTTTTAGACTCCCGCTTACCTCGCAGAGGTCGGGGCTGTAGAAATGCCCCCGGAGGTGGCCTAAAACCCTCAAAAAGGGGTAGCGGTGGGGTGGGGGGACACCGTCTAAAAGGGAAAAACTCCCCTCGGAGTTTCCTTTAGGCAGCAGCAGGACAGAGGCCGGGGGGATGGCCGCCGGTCCCGGCCCTGCAGCCGCACCTTTCCCCGCTCCCGCCGGGGCCAAGGCCGGGAGCACATTTCGTCCTAACCTTGGAATCCCTTTCCGAGCTCTTCAGCCGGGCCAAATCCGGTCGAAACCCGGCCTGGGAAAGCCAGAAAAAGGCCGTTACGAAAAGGGAACGGGAGTTTGTCCTTCCCATTGCGGCGGGACCGGGGCTGGATTTCTGCTTCCAGTCCGCGCAAATCCCGAGCGCGAAAACGCTCCTGGTTTGTTGTTGCTTTTTTTTTTTTTTTTCCCCTTTGCTTCTTTCGATATGATTTTTGCAGAGGGCTTCGCTCAGCCTCGCGTTAAAATAAACACTAAAATCCTAAAAGCGGCAAAAAGGGAAAAAACCCCAACAACAACAAAAAAGAAATAAGGGGGGGAGCGTAGAGTTAAAGAGAGAGGGTGCCTTTTGCAACGAATTTCTGCTGGGTTTTACACCCCTTGCCCTTCCAAAGTTTCCTGTCGCGGCCGAGCACAACAAAGACAATGGAGCAAAGATCGCGCCTTCGGTTGAAGGGAGTGAAAAGGTGCCGTGGAAAGGCAAGAGCGGCCGATGCTGCGTGGAACCCGCTCCCCCAAGATTGCTCTCACCCCTCGGGCCCGCTTGGACCCAGGTCGCCCTGGGGGTCTCCCTGCCTTCTAGGGTGCTTTGGGCCCAGGCAGGACTCCCTGCTCCTTCCCCAACCGCCCCGGGAAAGGCTGGGTTTGGCTGCAGAGAGGTGGGTGGATGCAGGGCCCGGCAGGACCCGCGTGGGTGCCCCCACACATCCCTCCGGCGGGGCGGGCAAGGCTGGGTGCGGGGGCGGCGTGGTTGCCTTTGTGTGCCTGTATTTCTGTTTGGGAAGGAAAAAAAAAAAAAAAGAGGGGAGAAAAAAACACACACAAAAAAAACCCCAAACCAAACCAAAAAAACCAACCCACCCCAAATCCCAACACCCCACCGCAGAAAAGGAACGCAGCGGCGAGCAGAAAACCGAAGACGGGGCCGCCGACGACCCGGCGAAGAAGAAGAAGCAGCGGCGGCAGCGGACCCACTTCACCAGCCAGCAGCTGCAGGAGCTGGAAGCCACTTTTCAGAGGAACCGCTACCCCGACATGAGCATGAGGGAGGAGATCGCCGTATGGACCAACCTCACCGAGCCCCGAGTCCGGGTAAGAGGGGCGTCCAGCCCCGCGGGGATGCAGGGGAGGGGGGGTTTGGAATGGTGGGAGGGGGGTCTTAGGGAAGCTGTCCCTTTCGGGAGCCGCTGAGGCCGTTTGAGAGCAGGGGCCGGCTGCCGTGGGCTTGATTTTAAATACTAAAATTGGGATTCAGGTCCGAAAGGAGAAATTCAGCTCCCGGTCGCGGAGAGATGCTGCCCGGAGCGGGCTGAGACCGCCGGCCCCGCGCTTGGGGACCGGCCCCCAAAAGTGGGGGGCGAGCAGCGGAGGGGGCAGGGGGAAGCCGGGGCTCGGGAAGGGCCCGGTTTGGGGGGGACGACCCCCCCGGGTTGGCTGGAGCAACCCCCCCAACCCGAGCAACAAGGCAGCTCCAGCGGCCCTTCCCCTTGCTCTGGTTATTCCCAATAATCCCCGCAATCGTGATCATGTCCCAACAAACCGCTGCTCCATGCTCAGCCCCCCGGGCCCGCCGCGATCCCCCTCCCCACCACCACCTCCCCGTGCGGGAGCCGTCGTTGCCAGCCCCCCCCGGCCGCGCATCTTCCGCGGCCGCGGGCGGAACGGCTGTTTGCAGAGGCCGCCGATGGGCAAAGTGAAGGACAAGGGGCCGGGGAACGATCGCACTCGAAAGTCAATAAACGCTGGAGACACATACTTGTACGGCGAAGGCCCTGGTCTTTACACGCCTCGGAGCCGATGCCACCATATATATATATATATATATATATATATATATATATATTTATATCTATATTTATATCTCCCCACACCTATATAGCATCGGCAGTTCCACAGAGAGATTTAGGAGTGAAATATCCTGGCGATGAACGACCGGACCGAAGCGATTCGGGCTTTATTGATCCGCCGTGCCAAGGCTGTCACGGTTTCTCCACCTCCACTTTACGTCCCGTCCGTGTCCCCCCCCGGGACATTTCCCCGCGCGGTTTCGGCCGTGGCCGCACACCCCAACCGAGCCCACCGCCCCCCGGGACCGTGGGCTGAGCAGGCTGCCGGGGAGGGCAGAAACCCGGGATAAAACGGGAACTGCAGAAGGCAGCCCCGCCGTCCCGAAAAGCCCCCCCTCTTTTTTTTTTTTCTCCTTTTTTTTTTTTTCCCTTGGCAATTAAACCGCGAGTGACCAAATCGGATTACAGAGATTCTGCTTTAAACCTTTCAAGAGTAAATACCCATCTGCAATGGGGGAAACGCAACTGAAAGCATTGTCTTAATTGAGTTTAAAACAAAACAAAGCCGGAGCATTAATATCGGTGGAATATTTCAGGAAGCAAATAAAACTAATATATGAGTTGCCATTAACATAATTTCGTTCTCCCTCTGTGTGGAGATGTTTTGGTTTGATGTTCTGAGATTGCAGATTGCAAATCTAACCTTAATTTGCTATAAGGGCCTTCCTTTAAAATGTCTAGGAGCCATAATTAAAACTATTACCCTCATTTTCAGGAAATTCCTGTCTGGAAGCACCTTCCGAGGAGTATATTACAGGTTTTGAACATGTTGGCTTTCGTTTCCTATTTATACGGGATTCTTTTTATTATTGTTATTTTTTAAACTCGA